AGGCCGCAGAACACGATATCTGCGATCAAACCGCTCTGACGTCAGCGATGTGATGCTCTGGGACTTCCTCCATGGAGCTACTGTGGAAAGGGGAACGGATGAGGACCAGTACTATGAGGAGGCAGTGGAATCCGAGGATGAGACCAGTGATGGCAGCTACTCTGTGGTGACTGACGTGTGAGAGCCGGACCATAGCTTCTGAAGTTTTGCCTTTTGGGCTGCCACCGACATGTTGCTGTGTCGCAACATAGGGGAGTGTGGTGGCATTTTCAATTTGGATGGACACGCACAAATCAAGAAGTGTTCACATGTCTCAGGGGTTTTACATGCTTCAGTCGTCTCACTGGCATGGCCCCTGCACAAGCGATGACACGCTACCTTTTGTATGGCTCAAGAAAGAGGCAGCCGCTGCTGCTTCGGGTTTTTTCCCCCGTTTGGGGTTCGCAGTACCAAATATTACTAACCGTTAGTAGTTACTAACATTTACTAACCATCATGGGTGCCGTCCTTAAGATACAGCAGCCGATAATTCAAGTGGATGCGCTTCAGCGTCTCCACCTGGTCTGGCCAATGCGGATCACGGATTTGGATAGCCACGGATCGGATGACTGTGACTGTACTGGGACACGGGCATCTTCAAAGCTAAGCACATCATTGAACTTGACTTTCTCTTTCATCACCTGCACTCAAGCTGCTGTGCTGCTGGTATGCTGCTGCTATGGTCACATCATTTGGGGTGAGTGGATCACATCTGATAGCAGCGATGTGCGAGCGCTCTTGTAGGCGTCGAGATGGCGAACTGCTAGCAATCCTAGCCAATACATGTCAAAGCTCTTACCCCCTAGAAAGTGTTGTAGTTGTATCTAATCATAGCGCATGACAAACAAACCTCTAGTGAACATGACAGGACCTATCCCACCCACTGTGCGGCATATCTTTGATAGTGCCAACGGGGGCTGGGAGTTTCATCACTTTTCCGCACTTTTCCGCGCGGACAGCGTCAAGGCAGGGTTGGTTCACCCCGCTGGGTTGAGCTTTCTATCTCCAAGGTCCGTACTGCGGCCCTGGCCTCAAGGCTCAAAGGAGAGCATGTGAATCACTCAGTGAGTCCTGGTGACCGTGGATCCTGTTTCTCTATGGTTTTCTTTCATGCGTTGGAATGAAGTATGTGTGTGTGATTTCGGAGGTGCCTGCACGTGTCCATCCGTCACAAGTTGACAGTTGCCCTTCTAACGACTGCCAAGTAACAAGTATTGAGCATAGCTTGGAACCTCACAGCGAAGGAAAAAGCGGGAACTTGGAACTGTGGCAGAAAAGAATGTGGCCCCGAGCCCACAACTTGCAGTATCCAAACATGGTCAAACTTCAGAGACAATGTCTGCCGCCCCCTTCATGCCCAGGCACCCATTGCCAACCACCCATGGGAGGAACTGGAGCCTGCAGCAACAGTGGGACCATTTTTTTCAAGGCTGGCCCAACAAAACAGTGGAACTGCCGGAACCGCCTGAGGAACGCTCCAGCTTGGAGCACCAAGGGCCTTGGCTGACATGAAGTTCCCCTGAATACCTCGATGCTTGAAATCTTGAAAGATTTGAAAGGGACCTTTGTTTCTGCATTATATATCTTGGGCAACCGGCGGCAACCGCTGACGATGTCATGAATGACTTAATCGGAAAAATATGGGAAAATCATGACAAATCTGTAGAACTGCCAAGCTCATCTCGAAAGAATCCAAGTGTGTGTGTGTGTGTGTGTGTGTGTGTGTGTGTGTGTGTGTGTGTGTGTGTGTGTGTGGGTGGTGTGTGTGTGTGGTGTGTGTGTGTGTGTTTGTGTGGTGTGTGTGTGTGTGTTTGTGTTTGTGTTTGTGTGTGTGTTTGTGTGTGTGTGTTTTTGTGTGTGTTTTTGTGTGTTTTTGTGTGTGTTTTCGAAACACGCGACGAGACTCATGGAGGTTACTTCCACCTGCCATTTGGAAGTTCGCAACTCGACATTTTCAACAGTCCAAAAGGCGATTTAGAACATTTTAGTACTCAACACGCCAATTTTCAATTTTATCACCACAACATGACATATTTATATGTATTATATACATCATAAACCATAAAATAACTGTGGATATGAAATCAAGATGGTCTCGAGTTCATGGTGTCCCCATTTGTTGGGACAGATCACTTGAGTCACTCGGTGGTGAGAATTTGAGCCGACCAGAAGTCGCCTCCGCGACTTTGGTGATGTTGCGACGGCCTAGGGCCGCTGAATCCTATGGCAGGTGCGGTTCAGCCGGACGTGCATCCCACTTAGGAAGTGGTGTATTATTTGCATCCCACTTCCATACATTCCTGGGAAGAATCCAGGACTACATTTGGCTGATATTTCTAACATAACATATAGGGTTTTCATAGGGTTTTCTAACATAACAGGTTACCCCAAAGCGGTTTTCTCATTGACCAACAAGTTGGATGCCAGTTGCGACGACGAGATGGATGCCTCTTCCACGACAACTGGGCTTTCCACAGTGGCTTGGCTTCGGGATCGTGAGAGGATCGTACACCGATGATCTAAATCCCAGTTTTCTTGGGTTTGTAATGGTTCATAAATGATGGTGATTAATGGTTAATAATTAATGGTTTTCTCAATTGTTCTTGGTTTTTCTGAATCTTTTCCTCACATGTTCCGATTTTTGGAGGTTTTCTTGGTGTTTTTTGACGTTTTTCAGACGGGCAGCTTCACCAGCTGAGGCATGAGCACGCTGATTTGGAAGCACAAGCGGCTCGGCTCAAATCCGAAGTGGGAAGATTCATCTATAGATGACCGTTTCTATTGATTATTATATATGGTCATATATGTATACAAATATGACATGGTTAATATATGGGGTTGTATAGATTAGCTGACAGTTTTTATTGCTGATTTATTCGATTCTAGTTGTGTTATCATTCCGTATCTACTTGTGAAATCTTCTAAATGTTCAAAAAACAGCTGAGTTTTGTATGAAACTTTATTAAACAGCTAGCTGGGGACACTTTTTTTTACAGCACAAAGGGGAGTTTTTTGATGATCACTGTGGATGGCTCCAGGATGGCTCTCCCCTCAATCTCTCCCCTCAAATGAGTTGGAACCAAACTGTTTCCCTCCATGGAAACCCGACCTGGGAAACACCATCTCGAAAAGCAATGAAAATAATAGGTAGATCAACTATTTCGACTGGGCCAATTTCAATAGCTATGTAAGAAATTACCAGAGAGTATCTCCATTTACTAACTGGGGACTTCCTGGCTTGCAGATAACTTGCGGCAACTTAGCTATCGGGGCACATCTTGCATGTGTCATTTGTACATCATTTCTGATGGCTTTTACTAGGGCCATGCCATCCGCGAGGATCGCATACCCGAAGCCACCAATTGGAGCGCGTGGGGCAGCTGTGGCTGGGTCCTTTTCGGTGTACCCAAAAAGGATCAAGTTTAGCGGCAGTGAGGCCTGACCTGATGATCCTGATGGCGCACGTACGAACTTGTTAATTTGGTTGGTGATTTGGAACATGAATTTTATTTTATATATATATATATATATTGGGAGTTTCATCATGCCAACTGACGAACTCATATTTTTCAGAGGGGTAGGTATACCACCAACCAGATTTTGTCTATGCCATTTGAATCTGAATTGACAGTGGCTTCTTTTCGCGAAGTGCTTCACCAAATGTTTCAGCAAGCCGCAAGCCCATCACCCGGCGATTCCAAGGAGGTTTTTTGCAGTTGCTATGTAGGATTCATCATTGATTCATCCCTCACTCTTTGGCCCCATCATATTGCGGATGGTTGTGAAATCCAAACAGTTGGTAGATAATTTTTCCTATTCTAATCCCATAAAAAATACGATCATGCAACAATATAATCCCACTATTTTATCACCATTTTATTAAATCACCATGATAATGACCATATGGTAACTACCAGCTCTTATTTATCACATTTTATCACCCTGTTTCATAGGAATCCCATTAGTTACCCTGGTGATTCGGAGTTCGGCCTCCAGGAGGCAACTGCACGTCTTGGATGTTTGCTGTAGGAGCTGCTGATCCGGAGATCCGCCGTGTTTTGGAGATCCAACTTGCGAAGCTGCACATCTTGGGGGAAACATCTGAGATGGATTGAAGAATATGATTATAATATGAATAGATATATATATATATAACTATATACACATGAATATGTATATATATATATGGTCACCCCCCCCAGAACCGACCAAAGCAGCAACTTTCTGTACTTTCCTGCAACTTGGCTCACATCCTTTAAACTTGGTTAACACCCTTTCAACTTGTCTGCTCTTCAAGTTGTCTGTCCACCACTTAAAACCATAAACAGAAAGAAACAGTATAAACCTCCATGTAATGATAATATAAAAAAATACTTTGAGTCTCTTTGGGGAGGACCCCATGGAGAGAAATCAAAAACACATTGAGAAAACCGAAAAAAAAATAACAATATTTGGAAACTCTTGGTGGGACCCCCCCATCCCCAAGACCTCTGGAATATTGGGTTTTCTCGATGTTTTTTTTGCTTTGTGCCAATCCCCCCCATCCCCAAGACCTCTGGAATATTGTTTTGTTTTTTTGTTTTCTCGATGCTTTGGTTGGTTTGTGCCAATCCCCCCCATCCCCAAAGACCTTTAGAATATTTTTTTTGTTGTTTTATTTTTTTTGTTTCGCGACAAAATCGAATTGTTTTATGTTCTCAATGCTTTTTCTCCCGTAGCCATTAGCAGCTCCCAAAGTTTGCCTCACTGGTCTTCTGTACTACAACATGGGCCTGGTGCGCTTTACTTTTCGTCGCGCTTCGCTACGAAAAGTCATGATGAAGCCGAGCCTCCTCAAGGGAGCTGGCTTTGTCTGCCAGACGGCAAAGCTACTTGGACACAGACAGTCTGGAAATAATAATTTCTAATCTTTGATCATCGTTCATGTCTGCTTAAGTCATTCCATCCTCCCACGCTCTCAGGTTTGAACTTGAATCACTGCAGCCGCTTTCGGAAGCCGAGTCAAATGAGTACCTGGGTATCCGAAACATCTGTATCAGAAACGTCTCGTGCAATGATTTCTCTGTTCACCCTCTCTGTGCTTCATGTTGCCAAACCATTCACCCGCCAGGGTATGAAGATGACTTCTGGGAGCTGCTTGTTCGCAGTTCTTTGCCTGCTCTACTTTCTCCAATGCATGCTGGTCTTCCACTTGTCACGAAAGCTAGCGTCAGCTAGCTGGAGTCTTCTTGCTTTAGCAAGTATTCCGGGGGCTGCTCAAGGACATCACGTGATTTTTCACGCGAAAGGCCCCCCCCCAACCCCACCACCATCACCATCATCAGCATCATCGTCATCATCGTCATCGTCATCGTCATCGGTTTCGTCATCGTCATCGTCATTGGCATCGTTCTCGTCATCGGGATCATCATCATCATCATCACCATCATCATCTCCTCATCCTTATCATCCTCCTCCTCCTCCTCATCATCATCATCACCATCATCATCATCATCATCACCATCATCATCATCACCATGAGCAGCATCATCATCATCATCATCATCATCATCACCATGAGCATCATCATCACCATCAACATCATCATCACCATCATCATCATCATCATCTCCTCATCATCATCATTATCATCATCATCGTCATCATCATCACCATCATCATCATCATCATCATCGTCATTGTCAGTGTCATTATCTTTGCCATTGTCTATGGCCCAAACTTTATACAAATGGAACTCTTGCGCCATATGCTTTACCTGGCAGGGCAGCGAGCCTTCCAATGGATGCGATCTTGCGCCACGCTCAAGACCTTCTGATCCTGAGCTGATATTGAAGAAGCATTGCAGAATTAGGACGCTGAGTCTTGGATCGGCTTGTCCTATACTGTAGTTTGCTTTTCATTGGTTGTCCTTCGCTATGTGTAGCTGGCTATATTCCCAGGCTGCCATCGCCCTTCGCTCGGAGCAGCTTGCCATGCACTTGGAGGACTCCATCGTCTATGGTAGCCCTCTGCGAGGGTGCTTTTTTTTGGGCTGCATAGTTGTTTTTCCGTGGTATGGGTTGATCCTGTCGAGTGTGGTGTCGGGATGCTTTTAGCAACCTCTGTTTCTAGGATCTCGCATCGCAGCGAGCCAGAAAGGACTGCAAAACTGCTCATAAACTGACCAGCATAAGAATTTATTCTTTGTCAGCTGTGCATTTTTTAGCAGGCTGCGGTTCGAAGATCGCGGAAGAAGCAGCAACGCAAAGTCGCAGCGGCCTGAGTGTTTCATCCGCCGGGGGTTCCCATTGGCACGACTCCATGCTGTTGAGGAGAAAAAGGACAAGGCGGGATTGTGCTCATCCGACATTCCGTCGGACTCGTTTTTCCTTATGAAGTTCGTGCAAGCCTTCTTGAATTTCCAGTCCCTTAGCAGCCTGGATGGTGCCAGGCAGACAGGGCCGCGTTCTACCGGCTGCTTGAGGTCAGAGTGTTTTCAATTCTTGTCAAAGGATTGTGTGCTTCGCAGCTTTGTCAGGTGGAGAAGCCGAACCTTCTGAAGAGTTTGACGGACCGCTTCCTCCTGCTGCAGGGTTTCAATTGTTTACCATTCCAAACGTGTAGCACATGTATGCATACACTGTGGCAGTCAATCGAAGGGGTGAAGTGTCAGGTGAAAACTTGGACCGGGACAGCAAAATTGACTGAAAAGATTGACTTTTGCAGCTCCAGGTTTCTATGAGATGATTCGATCCAACAACAATTTGTTGCGATTCAACGAGTTGTCCACTGCAATCACTTACCACTGGACTGTATGGTTAAATGTCTGCCAGGAGACGTGGGAGCAATTTCAACTTCGGAGTTAGCATGCAGCATGCTGGTCTTCCACTTGTTGTTGTGAGTCGCGGGTCCTTCGGGCCTGTGGTGCTTAGGTCTGCGTGGGCCTTTCCCAGAGAATGTGGTGGCCGACAGAGGACCCAGGACACCACCGGGAACGCCGCCGATGTCCCCGCGTACACCCCCTGGACCTCCACCCGGCAGCCCTACACTCTTTGCTCCAATGACGCCAACGGAGCTATTGGCACACCTTCTTCCGCCGGGAACGCCCGAAGAGGCGTGACGGATTGCGGCTCTGACTTCAGCATCTGTAAAAAAAAAGGGCGGCCGCGTTGCTCGCAGCATCTTGCAACCTATTATCTTCCACATTGTTTCCACTAAAAGATGTCAAATCCCTTTACAGATTTTCTTAAGGGTTTTTTTGATAATTAATCTTTTTCAAAAGCAAATATTATCTGGACCCTTTCCCATCCATGGAACCTCTGGAAAACATCTTATGGTAAAACACAATACTTTAAGTTCATATTCAAAGTGACCTTCTCCGCACGATGCAACCGACATGAACATTTCAGAACTAGCATCTTCCAAGAGTGACTTTCTTGCAATGTCAAGCCTGTACATGTGCATTCATGTCGCAAATTCTGCTTCACCTTGTATGTCTCCACCGCAGCCTTCTCTAGCTATCTGCGATCCAACTGCTTCCCAATTTGACATGGCGAACATGAGCACAAACTTCGTCGACAGCTTCAACAGGGAGAATGGTGAGAAGGATGGGGTCATCACCTTTGACGAGGCAGTGGTCCATGTGAACGGTCTCAAACTCAATGGACCTTTGACCAAACCACTGAAGTCGGACCGTGCAGTAGGTGACGTGAATGTGGGCGACTTACGTCTCAGGGACATGGTCGACATAGGTGGCAAACTGGAACAATTCGCAGATGTGAACCTCAACGTCCCGTTGGAC